ATATATATATGATTTTGCAAAATCTAAAATCTATCATTGTTGCTAACAACTGTCCAAGAAGATTGTTTATTAAAAATAACACTTTTCTCCTCAAAAGCAAAAAACTATTTCTACATATGTTGTTGCTTTTATCGAGTTGCTTCCAACTCATAGCCACCTTGTATAGGATTTCTGAGGAGCAGCTGGTGAGCTTGAACCGCCGATCTTGAGGTCCAAACTGACCTTGCGGTCCAGCGCATTAACCCACAAAACCACACCAAGACTCATTTTAACATTTCTACATACACATTTCCAAATGTATACTACTATAGTCTATTTTTACATACAGACTATATTGATTCATAAATATGAATAAATTGGTGGTTAGTAGTGAAATTTAGGGATGTTATAGGATAAGCACTTAACAAAAACAACATAGGATAAGTACTGGATTATTAACCACAAGTTCAGCAGTTCAAATCCATCAGCCACCTCATGGGAGCAAGAGGAGACTTTCTGCTTTCATAAAGATTTACAACTTCAGATATCCTATGCAGGGTCACTATGAGTAGCAATTGATTCAATGGCAGTGGGTTTGGGCTTTTTCGGGTTTTTTTTTTTGTGTGTGTGGGGGGGTTTGATTTGATTTGAACTCTACATGATAGTTCTTGCTGTAACATAGAAATGTAAACTTTTTGTTGTTGTTGTTCACTTTGTTTACTGAATTTATCAGTTTCTATTGTGGTTCAGCAAGTTAATGCACTGGACTGCAAAGTTGGTTTGATCTGCAAGGTCGGCAGTTTAAACTCCCCAGCCACTCCGTAGAAACCTATGCAGGGTCAATATGAGTCAGAACTGATTCAGGGGCACTTAACAATAACAGCATTTTAAGTAGAGTCATTTATGGCAGGCTTGGGAAAAGGCCAAAGGAGGTTCACAGGGCTTGTAGACGTGACATAGTTTAGGATAATATAAGGAGCATTACTGGAGTGTAGAAGTGACTGGAGCATGGAAAACGAATAGTTGAAGGTGGTCTGAGATGTGGACAAAGTCAGATCTATAGTGCCTTATAGACCATATTAAGGAGTTTGGATTTTATTCTAGATGCCCTGGGAATCATTTGGAAGGTTTTATAAGGGGCATGGCATGTTTTGTGGGACATTTACCAACATCACTCTGGCTTTTCAGTGGAGAATGGATTGTAGAGAGGCCAGAGTGGAAACAGAGAAGGGTCTGTAGGCTACATAGGTTCAGGCAGGGAGAAGTGGCTTAGATCCTCTGCTACTATAGCAGAGGAAATAGCATGACATGGATTTGCAATGGGTAAGATGAATGGATAGGAAAGAATATGCTTGTTTGTTTCCCTCCAAGATCCCTTCTCTGAGATGGCACCAAGATGTGATTGCCTCATCTAAAGTCTGCCCCAAACATTCAATGCAGTGCAATCAGAATTTACCAAAAATAGATGGCTGTTTTTACTATTGCTTCAGATTCTTAGTTGCACTGATTTTGAAACTGTTGCTGGCTAGTACCATTGCTCGTTGCTTAATTTAATGAGACTTGACAGTCATCATTCTTTTTATAACTTTTGTTGTTTTTTTAAGTGTCATTAAGTCAATCCACTCATAGTGACCTCGTATAGGATTTCCAAGGAGCAGCTGGTGGATTTGAACCTCCGATCTTTAGGTTTTCAGTCCAGTACTTATCCTAAAGCACCACACCATGCCTTTTTTTAATAAACTCTAATCTGGTAGTGGTTATGAATCGGGCTGCTAACCTCAAGGTCGGCAGTACGAAACTACCAGCTGCTCTGCGGGAGAAAGATGAGGCTTTCTGCTCCCGTAAAGATTTACAGCCTTGGAAACCCTGTACAGGGTCGCTATGGGTCGGAACCGACTCTACAGTACTTAGCAACAACAACAACAAATAGCAATATTCATGGGCTAACTAGAAGCTAGAAAGAGTGATGTCTGTATGAGCAGTCATTTAAAAGAAGAGACAAAAGCAGAAAGGCACATAGTCAAAAAGGGTGTTTTTATTGGGAATAAATTCAAACCCATTTGTGTTGTAATAGTTTGAATTTCACTCCAGGTATCTTCGTTGAAGGAATTTCTTTCCTCCATAAATCCCCATCTAGTTCTCACACATTGTTGTTGTTGTTAAGTACCATGAAGTCGGTTCTGACTCATGGTGACTCTGCACAGGGTTTCCTAGGCTGTAAATCTTTATGGGAGCAGAACGCCTCATCTTTCTCCCGCAGAACCGCTGGTAGTTTCGAAGTGCTCTTGATAATAGTGTGAATGTGTTGATGTTAAGTGCTATTAAGTCAATTCCAAATCTTAACAACCCTATGAGCAACAAAACAAAACATTGCCCAACCTACATCATCTTCACAATTATTGTCATGTCTTCCTCTTTTACATTAACCCTCCACTTTACCAACCACTATGTCCTTCTCCAGTGATTGGCCACTCCTGACAACATGTCCAAAGAATAAGAGACAAATTCCTGTCATCCTTGATTCTACAGAGTAGTCTGGTTGTACTACTTCCAAGACAGATTTGATCTTCTGACCTTCCATGGTACTTTCAATACTGTTTGCTAGCAACATAATTCTAAAGCATCGAATTTTCTATGGTCTTCATTATTCATTGTCTAACTTTGCATGCATGTGAGGCATTTAAAAATTCCATGTCTTGAGTAAGATGTGCCTTAGTCTCAGAGTGAAATAGTTACTCTTTAATAATTTAAAGACTTCATTTGCAGTGGATTTGTCTAATGCAATTCATCCTTTGATTTCTTTACTGCTGCTTCCATGAGTGTTGATTGTGGATCCAAGCAAAATGAAGTCTTTGACAACTTCAAACTTTTCTCCATCTATCATGATGTTGTTTATTGGTTCATTTATGAAGATTTTGTTTTCTTTACATTGAATTGCAATCCATACAAAAGACTGTAGTATTTAATCTTTATCAGCATGTATTTTAAGTCATTTTCACTTTCAGTAAACAAGGTTATGCCATCTACAAGCCTCAGGTTGCTAATGAGTTTTCGTCCAATCCTGATGCCACATTCTTCTTCATAAAATCCACTTTCTCATATTATTTCCTCACTTTATAGATTGAATATGTATGATGAAAGGATACATCCATGGCACACACTTTTCCTGATTTCAAACATTCATTATCCCTTTGTTTTATTCAAACAACTGCCTTTGTGTCTATGTGTTCATCCTTCCTCTATGTATCCAGCTTTCTCATTCCAGTCACCAGTAATTATGAACGTATCTTGATCGCATGTGTGATCAATTTCAGACTGAAAAACTTGGTTGTTGTTATGTGCCATTGAGTTGGTTCTGACTCATAAGCGACCTTTTATGGAACTTCCAAGGAGCAGCTGGTGGGTTTGAACCACCAGCCTTGTGGTTAACAGTCCAGTGCTTATCTTACAGTTCCACATCGTCATTGGCTTTTGTGATTGGTGTGTAAATTTGAATAATAGTGGTATTAACTGGTCTTCCTTGTAGGAATATGGGTATTATCCTATCATAGGCAGTGTTGTACTTCAAGATAGATCTGGAAATGTTCTTTTTGATGATGAATGCAAATGCTATTCCTTTTCAATTTGATATGCCCTCCATAGTATACTATGTGATTGTTAGATTCAGAATTGCCAGTACCAGTTTGTTTCAGGTCACTAATGCCTTGGATATCAATCTCTGCATTCCATCTAATTTTGGACAACTTCCAATTTTCCTAGTTTCCTACTTTGGAAATTCTGTGTTCTGATTGGTAATGGGTGTTTGCAACTGTTTCTTCTCATTTTGAATTGTGCCCCATCAGCAAATAAAGGTCCTGCAAGCTTTGCTCCATTTACTTCAATACGGTGAACTCTACTTTGAGGAGACAGCTCTTCCTCAGTCAAATTTTGAATGTATTATGACCTGAGGAACTCATCTTCCAGCACTGTATATGTCAGTGTTCTGCTACTATTCATAATGTCTTCAACTATTGGCACGGTATCTGACAGGGGCTAACCATACAGAAGTGGTCCACATTTCCTTACTAGTCTTTGTTAATCTGGAAGTTTCACTTAAATCCGCCCACCATGGGGGAACCTGATGATATTTAAATATTGGTGGCATAACTTCAAAGATCACAGCAACACACAAGCCACCAGAGTACAACAAAATGATAGATGAATGGTGGGCTATGAATATCTTGTTGGTAGGTGCCATCGAATCCGTACCGACTCATAGCAACCTTAGGCACAGCAGAACAAAACAGTGAAAATCCTGGACCAATTATGTTGCCACGCTTGAATCCATTGGTGATGCCACATGGCCAATCCATCTCGTTGGGGGGTCTTCCTCTTTTTCTCTGACCCTCCACCTTACCAAACATATCCTTTTCCAGTGACTGGTCCCTCCTGAAAATATGTCCGAAGTTTGGCCATCCTGGCCTCCAAGGGGCACTCTGGCTGCACTTTTTCCAAAACGGATTATTGGTTCTTTTGGCAGCCCATGGAACTTTCAATATTCGCCTCTAACTCCATAACTCAAAAGCATCAATTATTCTACGGTCTTCCTTATTCACTGTACAGCTTTTGCGTACATATGAGGTTATTGAAAATACCATGGCTTGGGTCAGGAGCACCTTAGTCCTCAAGCTGATATCTTTGTTCTTCAACATTTTAAAAAGGTCTTGTGCAGCAGATTTGCCTAATGCAATACGTTGTGTGATTTCTTGACTGCTGCTTCCATAAGTGTTGATAGTTGATCCAAGAGAAGTGAAGTCCTTGACAACTTCAATCTTTTCTCCATTGATAAGAATGTTGTTTATTAGTCCAGTGGTGAGGATTTTTGTTTTCTTGACATTGAGATGTAGTCTATACCGAAGGCTGTGCTCTTTGATCTTCATCAGTAAATGTTTTATGTCCTCTTCACTTTCAGCAATCAAGGTTGTATTATCTGCATATCGCAGGTTGTTAATGAGTCTTCCTCCAATCCTGATGCCACGTTTTTCTTCATCTAACCCAGTTTCTCGAATTATTTGCTCAGCATATAGGTTGAATAAGTATGGTGAAAAAATACAACCTTGTCACACATTTTTTTTTTTTTAAACCATTCAGTGTTCCCATGTTCTGTTTGAACAATTGCCTCTTGGTCCAGGTCCACGTTCCTCACGAGCACAATTAAGTGTTCTGGAATACTCATAGTTCACAATGTTGTCCATAGCTTGTCATGATCCACACAATCAAAAGCCTTTGCATAGTCCATAAAGCACAGATAAATATCTTTCTGATATCTCTGCTTTCAGCCAAGATCCATCGGACATCAGCAATGATATCCCTCATTCCACAGCATCTTCTGAATCCGGCTTGAACCTCTGGAAGTTCTCTGTCAGTGTATGCTTTCAGCTGTTACTGTGTTACCTTTAGCAAAACTTTACTAGCTTGAGATAGCAAGGATATTGTCTGATGATTTCCGCATTCCATTGGGTCACCTCTCTTTGGAATGGGCACAAATGCGGATCTTTTCCAATTAGTTGGCCAGATAGTTGTCTTCCAAATTTCTTGGCAGAGATGAGTGAGTGCCTCCTGTGCCACCTCATGTTCTCGAAAGATTTCAATTTTTATTCCATCAATTCCTGATGCCTTGTTCTTTGCCAATTTCTTCAATGCACCTTGGACTTCCTCCTTCAGTATCATTGGCTCTGGATCATATGCTACCTCTTGAAATGGCTGAACATGAACCATTTCCTTTTGGTACAGTGACTCTGTGTCTTCCTTCCATCTTCTCTTGATGCTTCCTGCATCATTCAATAATTTGCCCAGAGAATTTTTTCTTCAGTTCCCCCAGCTTGAGAAATGCTGAGCGTGTTCTTCCTTTTTGGTTTTCTGATTCCTGATCTTTGCACATTTTGTTGTAATAATTGGCTTTATCTTCTCAAGCTGATCTTTGAAATTTTCTGTTCTGCTTTGTACCTCCTCATTTCTTCCATTTGCTTTAGCATCTCTACACTGGAGAGCAAGTTTCAGTGTCTCTTCTGACATCCATTTTGACCTTTCCCTTCTTTTTTGTCTTCTGAATGGCTTTTTGCTTTCTTCATGTATGATGTTCTTGATGTCATCCCACAACTCCTCGGGTCTCATTAAACATTTACTATGCTGTGAACATAGTAAATGCTTAATGAGGATATGTAGAAAATAAAGAAATCACACCTTGGAAGCTGATGTTCTGAAATTGGGAATGAAAAAGAGAGGCACATAATATTCAGCAAATACGGGTTCTAATTAGTTTGGAAGGAGCAAAACAACATTTCACTATGTTTACAATTCATACCAGTGAGAAAAATGAGAGAAGCAAGAGGCTGTTCTAGCCAAAAGAAACATACCATGGCAGCAATATAGCAGACAGGGACACTGAATGTATGTTGAAGTGTGGCTAGTATTCTGGAGGTGAACACTGAACGGAATGGCTTCTTTCCAAAGCTAACTTTAGCCTCATGTTTTTTGCTTTTGTTTTTTTGCAAGGTCATTTATAAAGAGAGTCTCTCATGATATTGACTCTTTTGTAGGATAAAACAATTCTGCCAACGTCTTACTGTGATCTAGCCATTTAAGAAAGTTTACAGGAGGTAGTACACAATTCATTTTGGTTCTTTTGAAACTGATTTGTGTGTGAGCCAAGGTATCTATTCTGGGTAGACTGGTAAGCAAGCAGCTGGTCTCCATTTCCACTGAACAGGGAATAATAGAAAATGGCCTCAAATTGCCTCTGGGAGGGATTTGTTGAAGACTGAAGGGAAAATATTCTGATTGTAAGAGTTAAAAGGTAGTGAAACTGGTTGTGTAATTATATTCCCTGGAGGGCTTTACAAACAGCATAGCCAGTTGTCACTACTGAATGGTTCCCAAACTGTGGGTATGCCCATAGGCACAGTCTGGAATACGGGACCCCTGGAAAGCACTCTCAACACTAGGATTTGTTTTTGTTGTATTTATGATAGTCAACATCTGGTATATTTCTAAATGGCAGAGTTGCATTAGGATGGGAGAAATTATTGGTCAAGTACTGAGAGTGAGTCAGAACTGAAAGAAATAGCAGTTCCACAGTATTTTGGAGGGGTTTGATAGTTCTGCTTTCAACAGCTTTTCCTATTAGTACGGAAATGGATTCCAAGTGCATGCAGGCAAACCGAGCATTTTAGTTGCCTTGTTTTTAGTCTTCACTCCTCCCAGATCTTTGGCACACAAAAAATAAATACTGCCAAGTTGCAATGTTATTTATTTCATCTCTACGTTTTCTAAATCTTAAACATGTTTGAATAAATCATGATGATCATTGCTTTCATTTTATTCCATCTTTCTTGAATATGTGAAATATTCTTAAGTGTTGACATGGAGTGTTGATGACAAGAGAGCACCAATTTTAACTTTCTTTGTGCTCTCTTTCAGACGCATATCCGAAGAGTGAGATGATATATACATGGACAAAAGGCCCTGAGAAATCAGTAGAAGTTCCAAAGGAGTCTTCCAGCTTAGTTCAGTATGACTTGATAGGGCAAACAGTATCAAGTGAAACTATCAAATCAATTACGGGTGAGATGTTTTACAATTAAGTCAGCACACGACTTGGCATTAGCAATAGAGTTTCATCCTAGCTTTTCCATTGAAATTGCCAGTGTTTTCAGGGGAACCACAAGAAGATCTAGTCTATAAATCACAGGATTTCTTTATTTTCTTCTTTATAATTGTAACCTTATTTTAGTTTAAAATGAATTGTGAGTTGGGGAAATGTCATTTGGTCTTCTTATTGAGAAATAAAAGTCAGCAGTCGAATATATTAAAACTGTTTCCAGCACAGGAATTAAGAGGCAGGAAGTTCCATCACTGATTTTTAACACTAGAATTTCCTTTTTGTTTATGTCTGTGTCTTATCTAAATTAGTTTTGTTTTTTTTTTAATCTTGCTTAATTTCATGGATCCTATCTTCCTTTTTTCAAAATCAAAGGCAAGATCTAAAGCTTAATTACAAAGCATGTGAAGGGTATATCTTAAGGTTCTCACAGAGTTGATGAATCATTATTATTGATGATTCTTGTTCTATATATGTGAATGGAAGGAAACATAAGACTTCATTTTTATCATATTAATGCTGACTATTAATTCTATTAAGTATATTCCTTACACACATATATCACCAGGAAAAACTATTTTTTTAATCAATAGCATTCATAGTTTAAATTGCAAGTGGGATTTAAAACATATCAGGAAATATTTAAGGCATCTGAACCTTGGATTCAGTCTTATGAATAAGGCTTGTTGTTGTTGTTAAGCACCGTTGAGTCGATTCCAACCAATAGCAACCCTGTATAGGCGTAGTGGTTACGAATCGGGCTGCGAACCTTAGGGTCAGCGGTTCGAAACTACCAGCCGCTCCGCGGGAGAAAGATGAGGCTTTCTACTCCCGTAAAGATTTACACCCTCGGAAACCCTGTACAGGGTCGCTATGGGTCGGACCCGACTCGATGGCACTTAACAACAACAACAACAATAGGGTTTCGAAGGAACAGCTGGTGAGTTTGAACCACTGACTTTGTAGTCTGACGCATTAGCCCACAGCACCACACCAGGACTCCATGAATAAGTCTACTGCTTCCTAAATAAATTTCTAAATATATTCCTTTCAAATGTAACTTTTAAAATATTTTATCAACCAGAAATCTTATAGTTTATTTCATGTACATTTTTTGTGTTTGGTTCAAATGCCAATAAACATCCTTGAACTATACGGGACTGAGTGGTTTATCTTCATATGTATACCATTTAGAAATACAGCTCTTTTCTAAAACTAAGCCAGTGTCTCCCTAAGCTAATGTGAGTGTGTATTCCAACATTTTCTACTGACTTTCCATGAAAGTAAGGTTTAAATTTTACTCTCAAAAATGGAATAATGAAAACTAATTGCTTCAGCTGTATTAGCCTTTCAAAATAAAATCACTGCAAGAATTTGTTTTAAAGTTATAGCCCAATTTATTCAATTGCTAAGTCACTATATAGAAAGTATTTTTTGCTATAATGATGCTCAGTCTCATTTTGCCCTTACATAGGAAACTACATACTTCTAAATGTTTGAGATGCTGTGCACAAAAGATCATTTCATTGCCTCAAGTACTGAGTTTTAATCTGAAATATATGATTATGAAGCTATTGAAAATTTGCCTGCAATTTTCAATAACACATTTTCCTCATGTTTTATTTGTAGGTGAATATATTGTTATGACAGTTTATTTCCACCTCAGACGGAAGATGGGCTATTTTATGATTCAGACGTACATCCCATGCATTATGACAGTGATTCTTTCTCAAGTTTCATTCTGGATAAATAAGGAATCCGTTCCAGCTAGGACTGTATTTGGTAATTGAAATTCATTTTTCATGTGTTTTTATCGAGATTACATTTTGATCATGATTCATGGGAACAGTTCTTAGAATTTGTTTCTAAGAAAGTCTTAAGCAGCAATATATCAAGCTGTACTGCATATAAACTTTCATTTTTATCTAGTCAATACAGAAATAACAACATCTGGAGGGTTATGTGTAGTTTGTCCCTTCCTCTGCGCTTCCATCAAATTTCCCTTGTTGACAGCCAGGCATATGAGGATCAAATGTGACCAGATATAATTTAACTTTTGGTGATATTCTTGGTCTCCTAGTTTAATGCTGTGTAATTGAATTAAAATTATAGCGAGGTGTTAAAATGAAGTGCACTGGGAGCTTAAAAAAAAAACAAGTAAAATTCATGGCTGAATGAATATGAAAGCCTCAGAATAATTTGGTTTTAAATAAAGAGGAAAGATACAAATAGTTTAAATGCATTGCATTGGAAGGTAATATATGCTTAGTTTATTGGTGTTTCATTTTACTTTTTTTTTATAGTGGCTTCCCATATATTGTACTTGAAACCTAAAATATATGAGTTCTAAATTTTGTAACTGTTAGATCTTTACATATCAGTCACACTTTTAAATAGTAAAATTAGTTGTAATGATATTTAATACCAGAATTCTCTCTGCAGGTCATTGTAAGTAGTAAAAGCATTCAGTGGTGTCATTAAGAAGGAAAATGGTGAGAATTGCTGTGGAATGGAAATAATCCTCACAAGAAATGCCTGTTTCCCTTTGGTTTTCTATTTAGTAGGATCAAAACCATGCTATGCTGCTACTTCTCACACCACCACTGAAAAGATGTCGGTGAGAAGGGTCTGGGGTAGTGGGAGCTTTTCCAAAATTCTAATGCTTCTCATCTTACCTCTCACTGTGTTCGTAATTACTAATAATTCAATATAATAGGAGTGTGGTGGATCTGTAGTTAAAGCAGTAGACTGATTAGCACTACACTACGAACCACAATGTTGGCAGTTTAAGTCCACCAGTTGCTCCGTGGGAAAAAAAAATGAGACTTTGTGCTCCTTCAAAGATTTCCAGCCTCAGACACCCTATACAGGGTCACTATGGGCTGTCACTGACATGAAGGAACTTGACAAAAAACAACAGCAGTGTATAGCCATATTTTAACGTTTACAATGAAACTGCTGGCGGTGGTGGTTATGTGCCTTGGAGTAAGTTCCAACTCATAGTGACCCCACATAGGGTTTCTGAGGCTGTTAATCTTAATGGGAGCAGACAGCCCCGTCTTTCTTTTGCGGAACAGCTGATAGTTTTGAACTGCTGTCTTTGAGGTTAGCAGCCTGACTTGTAATCACTACGCTACCAGGGCTCCCAATAAAATGGAGTATAGGGATATTTTTTCCATAATCCTCTTGCTTGATCTTAGGTTCACCCAAGAAGGCATTGAAATCACACTGTGGAATATTTTAAAGAAGAAGGGTTAAAGCTAGAGGTATGATGTGATTCTTAGTAAGACAATGGACAAGTATAATGACACTATCCCTTTCATAAATTTGTGAAGATTTAATCAAACTGTAATTATTTTATAGAGTTTGTTGTTGTTGTTAAGTGCTGTTGAGTCCATTCCGACTTATCATGACCCTGTATAGGGTTTCCAAGGAGCAGCTGGTTGGTTTGAACTGTCAACCTTGTAGTTAGCAGTCCAATGCTTATGCTACATGTGCCACACCAGGACCAATTATTTAATACAGCTTGTTGTTGTTAAGTGCTGTTGAGTCAGTCCTGACCTATAGCGACCCTGCATAGGGTTTCCGAGGAGCGGCTGGCGAATTTGAACCACCAACCTTGTGGTTCAAACCGAACTTGCAGTATAGTGCTTATTCTATAGTGCCACACCAAGACTCCAAATAAAGCTTAGCTGTTAAAAAATAGATGTGATCCTGAGTAAGAAAACAAATCGAAGCTTTAGATTTCAACAGGTTAAGGTCTATAACCAGATTCTGCTGTTTTTTTCCATCAATATAATTGTGATGTTAAAACTACCTCATAGACTTCTTGCTGTTGTGTGTCAGTGCATCATTTCCAACTAATAGCAACTCTACAGGGCAAAATAGAACTATTACTTAGAGTTTCTGAGGCTGTAACAATTTACAGACACGTACTGCCTACCTCATCTTTCTCTCCACAGAGCAGCTGGTAGGTTGGAACTTCTGACCTTTTAGTTAGCAGCCTAACCCTATGTGATAGAGTAAAACCCTTAGACTTTCTTAGGCTGTATAAGAGCAGTTCCTAAGGTCTTTTCTCTTGTGAAGTAGCTGGTGGGTTCAAACTGCTGACTTTTTGGTTAGCAGCTGAGCATTTTAACATTACACCACCAGGAATCCTTCCTCACTGGGTGGTGGTGGTGGTGGTGGTGTTCTGTGGAGTCGGTTCTCACTCATAGTAACCCTTTATAGGATTTCCAAGGCTGTAAATCTTTATGGGAGCAGAAAGCCTCATTTTTCTACCACGGAAAAGCTGATAATTTCAAATTGCTGACCTTGAGGTTAGGAGCCCGACTCGTAAACACTACACCACTAGTGAGGATTTAAAGAGCTATTTAATGAGTTATTCATATAAATTATTTATTATAAGTTTTATGAGGCACCCCATTTAAGAGTTACCTTCTCCATACTTCTCTCATAAGGGGGAGGTTTACTTTGTTTTGTTCTGACTTTATTTCTTGTTTTATAA